ACTGAAATTAAAAGGATAATGACAAAATTATGAAGAACTGTACTCCAACAAATTTGAAAACTAAGAAGAAATGGATAAATTTCAAGAAACATACAACCCAGCTAAATTAACACAGAATGAGGTCGATGACTTTAACAGGCCCCTAACAAAATAAGAAATTGATGAGGTCATACACTCAACAATGAAAAAATCCCTGGCTCAGACAGATTCACTGGAGAATTCTATTAAATATTAATCTGACACTAATTCTACTCAAGTTATTTCAGAACGCATAAAAGGAAGGAAGAAAGGAATACTTCCAAATTTATCCTATGAATCAAGCAAAACTCTAATACCAAAGCCAGGAAAAACACTAAAATAGAAAAGCATACAGCAATATCCCTTATTCTCAACAAAATCCTAAACAATAGAATGCAACATCATATTATTATAATAAGAAATCATGATCAAGTTGAATTCATACCAGGAATCAAGAATGATTCAACATTAGAAAAACAATCAACAGAATCCACCACATGAATAAAAACAAAGGCAAGGACCCACATGATTGTATCAATCAATGTGGCAAAAGCATTTGACAATATCCAACAACTCTCAGCAAAATAGGAATAGAAGGAAAGGGAAATGCCCCAATTTATTTAAGGGCATATAGAAAAGCCAATGGCCAACATTATTCTCAATGGAGAGAAACTGAAAGCATTCCCCTTGCAAACAGACACCAAATAAGGATGCTTTTTATCACCACTCAATATTGCACTTGGGAGTCCTAACCAGAGCAATAAAGCAAGAAAGGGAGGTAAGAGACATACAAATTCGTAAAGAAGAAGTAAAACTATTTCTCTTTGCAGATGATATGATCTTATACAGAAAAACCCAGAGACTCAACAAAAAAATCTACTGGAACTAATGGGAGAATATAGCAAAGTGGTATGGTACAAGATCCTCTACAATAACAAAGAGAACTCTGACAGGAAAACAACACTATGTGCAATAGCTATCAAAAAGATTTAATACTTAGGAATAAACCTATCCAGAAAATACAAAAGACTTATACAAAGAAAACTGGAAAACACAGCTACAAGAAACCAAGAAAACTACATAATGGAAGAAGATGCTATGCTTCTGGATAGGAATTCTTAGCATTGTGAAAATGCCAATACTATCCAAAGTGATCTATGTTGTTGTTGCTGTTGTTAAGTGCTGTTGAGTCGGTTCTGACCCATAGTGACCTTGTACAGAGCTTCCAAGGAGCAGCTGATGAGCTTGAACTGCTGACCTTGCAGTTCAAATGGCTTTGTAATCTGGTGCATTAACCCACAGCACCATACCAGGACTCTAAAGTGATTTATAGATAAAATGTAATCCCAATCCAAATTCCATCAATATTCTGTAAAGAGATAGAAAAACTTGTTATAGAAAGGAAACATGAGCCAGAAAAGCAAACACTACTAAAGAAGAATAAAATAGAAGGCCTCATACTTTTGGATTTCAGAACCAACCATATATACAGCCATGGTAGTCAAAAAGCCTGGAACTGGCAAGACAATACAGACCAATAGAACAGAATTGAAAACCTATAGGAAATTTGTCTACCAATGGACAGCAAATCTTCAACAAAGGTCCCAAATCCATTAGATGGGGAAATAATACCTCTTTAACAAATGATGCTGTAAAAACTGGATATTCATTTACAGAAAAATGAAACAGGGTCCATACCTCACACTATATACAAAAATGAACTTGAGATAGACCAAAGACCTATACAGCCTGAGAAACCCTGTATAGGGTCGCTATGAGTCAGTACCGACTCCACGGCACATAACAACAACAACAAATTACATAAAGATCATGGAAGTAAAAACAGGCAAACTTTAGGGCCCTAATTTATGGCAAAAACAGTCAATCAAACATAACTAAAAATTCACAAACAGCAGAAGATAAACTAGACAACTGTGATAAACTAGACAAGTGGACCTCCTAATAATTAAAACCTTAAGCACATCAAAACACTTTTCCAAAAGAGTAAAAAGACAACCTAGACCGTGGGGAAAAAAAACTGACATATTTGACAAGGGACCAATCTCTAAAATTTATAGAAAACTTCAACCCTTCAATCAACAAAAAAAGATAAAACAATCCAATTAAAAAATGGGCAGATGGTATGAACACATACTTCACCAAAGAAGATACTCAGGCAGACAACAAATACATGAATAGATGTGCAGGCTCATTAACTGTTGTTGTTACGTGCTATACAGTTCTGACTCACAGTGACCCTGTACAGAGTTTACAAGGAGCACCTGGTGAGTTAGAACCACCAACTTCATGGTTAGCGGTCCAGTGTTTATACTACAGCACCACATCAGAACTCCATTTAGAAATATGCAACTCAAAACAACAATGAGATATCATCTCACCCTGGCAATAACAGTAATGATCAAAAAAAAGAAAACAAATGCTGGCAAGATGTAGTGAGACTGGAACTCTCATAGGCTGGTGAGATTGTGACATGGTATGACACTTACTTAAAAAGTTAGAAGGAAATACCATATAATCCAGCAATCCCAGTATTAGGTACATATACTGGGAAATAAGGAACTCTGGTAGTGTAGTAGTTACGAATCGGGCTGCAAACCGCAAGGTCAGCAGTTCGAAACTACCAACTGTTCTGCAGGAGAAAAATGAGGTGTTCTGTTCCCGTAAAGATTTACAGCCTAGGAAACCCTGTACAGGGTCGCTATGAGTCGGAACCGACTCCACGGTACACAGCCACCACTACCACCACTGGGAAATAAGAGCTGTGACATGAATAGAGAAATGAACGCCCAAGTTCATCACATTAGCTTTATTTAGGATAAACAGCATTAAGATGAACAAAACTTAAGTGCCCATCACTGGATGGATAAACAAACTATGGTACATTCACACAATGTATTACCATATACATTAAATGATCAATCTGCAAAACATTTCATAACATGGAAGAATCTGAAGGACATAATGCTGAATGAAAGAAATTGTTCACAAAAGAACAAATAAAACCACTATTTTAAAAAGTCAAGAAAGAAAGAAACATTCTCGGATGGTTACCAGGGCTGGGGGGTTGCGGGAAGAGAGAAAAAAATCACTAACTGGATAACCAGTGGACAGTACACTGCTGATGAGTTGAGTCTGACACACAGTGACCCATAGAACAGGGAATAACTGCCTCATGTGTTTTCAAGGCTGCAAATTGTCACGAAGCAAGACAGTGTCACCTTTCACTTTCAGAGTGGCTGGTGATTTTGAATTGTTAACCTACTGGTTAGCAGCCCAACGTTTTATCCACTGCACTACCAGGCCTCCCTCATTAATCACCACAAAGCAGACACATATTAAGTTGGATGAAGGGAAAGGCAGAACAGGCATACCTTAAAGATACTGCAGGTTTACTTTCAGATCAGTAAAGCAAGTATTGCAATAAAGTGTCACAATTTTTTTGCTTCCCAGAGCATATAAAATTATGTTTATACAAAATACAGTCTATTAGTGGGAGAAAGATGAGGATTTCTGCTCCAAGAAAGATTTACAGCCTCGAATATCCTATACAGGGTGGCTATGAGTTGAAATTGATGTGAAGGCACTTAACAATACCTCCATAGTCTATTAAAGATTTCAGGAGGCAATGTAGGATAAGCACTGAATTGCAAAGTAAGCAATTCAAACCTATCAGGTGCTTTAAGGGAGAAAGATAAGCATTTCTGCTCCCATAAAGCCTTACAGCCTTGGAAAACTTACACAAGGACGCTGTGAGTGGAAAGTACCTCAGTGGCAGTGAGTTGGTTTGGTATAGTCTATTAAGTCTGCAATGATGTTATGAAAAAGTATGAAATATTGTGAGCGTTGCTCAAATGAGCCAGAGACACGAAGTGAGCACATGCTGTTGGAAAACAGGCTCATGCAGGTTGCCACAAACCTTCAGTTTGTACACCACAGTATCTGTGAAGCAAATTAAGCTAAGTATGCCTGTACCTAGTAAGGGACACGTCAGCACAACAGCGTCAAGGCAAAGAAAGACACTGGGAGGTACTCAAGAGTAAAAGACAACAACAGTAAATAGTTCTACATACACAATCCTATAATAACAGTAATAAAAGATACAAAACCAGATATTTAAACTGAAAGAAAGAAAGAAAAAAAAAAGTAGAATGGAAGAACTAGCTGGGAGACCATCTCAACTGAGATGATTCCCATTCCACAGAGGCTCCATTTGTGTACAGCAAAACTGGTCTATGGGGGCTTTCAGAAGGAGACTGCAGAGCCTGTCTTCTGAGTTGTCTCTAGATGAGTTGGAACTGCCAATCTTTAGGCTAGCAGACAAGGACTGTGTGCACAAGAAACCTTTTCCAACAGTCTGAGAGACAGGTAATAAAGGCACAGACTAGGACAGTGGCAGAGGAAATCATGAAAAGGAAATAAATGGGAAAATGGTTAAATGCAATAGTAGTTATTTCAATCTGTGACAATTGTTTTACCTGTTGCCCCTTGATCTGCCACATCTAAAGATGGTACTGCAACGATACGGGTGATAGTGACGAAAATGACAAGGGATAAGGTTTGACTTTGAACATATTGAGTTGAGGTGATAGCAGCTGTGGGTTAGGAGCTGGAAAGAAGGTGAGCACTCAGGTGGGTAAATACACCTAAAGTAGATGGCAATTTAGAAAAATAAAGTAAAAGGATTCTCAGAAAGCTGAGCAGAATTAGAACATTAATTTCCTACACCCTTCTTAAATGCAGGCCAATTGGAACATTTATTATGTCCACGCTAAATTGGCAAACCAAGTTTGATCTGTGTTTGAAAGGCTCTAGACTCTTTCCAAAGTGATCTGGACATCACGAACAGAAACAGAATTAGTATTATATATGTCCTTATAAACGTCATGGGAATTGTTGCCATGTAAACATAAACTAACCCTCTAGGATTTTAGGAGATTTTATGAAAACAAACATAGCCTCACCTTCTCATAATGAGTTTCCATGCATAAAAAGATGGTGTATGCTGTTAAACAAGCCAAACAGCCTTCAAGATACGACTGGCCCCCAAGCTTTTCTGCTTCTGCATAAAGGTTATTTAGAGTTCGAACGGTTTCTTCAAACTGTTGCCTATCAATCTGTTAGGGAAAAAAGAATTTGAAAACACGTAAGTTTTGGAGAAATAATCAGCAACTCAACTGATTCATTTTCTCTGCTGTTTTGTCAATGTCAATACACTTACTCCACACTTACTACTTCATTACAATACATTTCTCATTTACAATGGCAAAAAGTCACTATTTGACTATTTGGCATTAGTGATGTACATCTGGGAAGTATTGCATGCTGAGAGGTGCTAGGCGAGAGTAACACTGGCTGTGCTGCTTAAGGTTCTGCATCAGTGAAGTTGGGCTATCATTCTCAGTGGTTTGCAGTTATGTGATGAAGTAGTCATCTTCCATTTTGTGATCTGATGTGGTCATCCTTCATTTTTGCATACCACTAAATTTGCATAACGTCTTTGGAGCTTAATGATGTTGATAATGAGAAGTTGGTATATGAGGGGGCTTCAAAAAGTTCATGGAAAAATGAAAGAAAAAAGATAATGGAATTTTTCCATGAGCTTTTAGAAGCCCCCTCATATTCTTACCTAACTGTTGCTGTTATTTGCCAGGGAGTTAATTCAGTCCTATGGCAACTCCGTGTATTTATGCCAGAATATAAGTGCTCCACAGGGTTTTCAAGACTATGATCTTCCAGAGACAGATCATCAACCTTACCTTCTGAAGCACCTCTGGATTTAAACTGCCAATCTCTTGGCTAGTAGTCACATGCTTAATCGTTTGAACCACCTAGGGACTCATTTCTTATCTAATAGCAAATCATTTTTAAGTGATTAAGTCTAGACCTATGTTACTGAAACTGTTTACGGCAGCTCAAGCTTACCAGCCGCTCCTTGGAAACCCTATACAGTGTTGCTATGAGTCGGAATTGCATTATGTTGGAGTTGCCTCAATGGCAACTGGTTTTGGAGACCCTGGATGGTACAAATGGTTAATCCCTGCTAACAAAAAGGCTAGAGATTAGAGCCCACCCACCTGTGCCTTGAAAGAAAGGTCTGGTGATCTACTGAAAAACCGTCACTGAAATGGAGCACATTTCTACTTGATATTAATCAATTCCATGGAATTAGGTTTTTTAAATATACTGCCGTTCAAGTAACTTAATTCAATTATACAATCCACTCATCTTTTTATTCACTTATATTTACATTTATTGAGCTCCTACCATATGCCCAGACATTATGACAGACCTTATAAAAAAATAAATAAGACATAATCTCAGTCCTCAAGGAGTTTAATCCTCTGAGCACAACAGATATATGAACAAAGTAATGAGATAAATTGACTAAGAGCAGAGGCATATAAAAAGTTCATCAAAAATAGAAAGAACAGAAATTTCCCACACACTTTTTCAAGCCCTCATATAGTGGGGGACACAAAAGGAGGCAGAATTTCTTGTAGCTGGAGTTGTTGTTGTTACATACCACTGTGTACCTAAACACTGGAATTTGCTAAGCAAAAAAGCAAAGGAAGAGCATTTTAAGCAGCAGAATCAAAAGCACAGCTTGGACTCTATTACTCAATCCGCCAACCCCTTTTGGGCAAACAAATGAGATGTTTTGTTTTTCTCTTATATACAGTGAACGTTCATTTTATTTTCCACATATATACTTTATCAGGTACACTTCAGTTCTTCATGTATTTGCATGATCATTTTTATTTCGTATGAAGAAATCCTTTAAAAATTTAAGTGCAATACATTCACCATCTCTTATGTTTTTGGATGTCCTCTTTTAAAATAATTGTTTTGTTACTTAAAACTTACAGCATTACAGATGATTATTCTAACCATCTGCTTATACTTTGTTTTTCAACATTACTTTACTTGCTTCTCCCATCAGGATGCTGCCGATTTCAAATCTCAATATATTATCCTAGGACTCTGAAAACCCATTAGCAGCGTACTTCACCCAATACTATCACTCTTGGTAACAAACCACAATTATCTGTTGTCACTGTGGGCCTTCTCTCACATAATGCCTCCCTTATTCCTAAAAATAATAACTACTTATATATGAATTCTCTCTTGTATGAAATCTTCCTTTGTACAGAAAAACAGAAACAAACAAACAAACAAACACACAAAAACCCCTAAACAACCTAAGGTCAGACAGACAGAAACTTGGGCTTATAAACATTTTAAATCAAAATGGAAATAGAATATCGGCTCATTTTCTCATAATTTTTGTTACCTGTTGAGCTTGTGGTAGAAAGCCTGGTGCTAATACTTAAAATGAGCACAGTAGCAAATCAAAAGGTAATCTCTACAGACAGATGTAGACACATATTTTTAAAGGTATGCAGAGGAACAAGGAAACGGCTCAGTTATGAGTCACTGTTTTGTTTTTTCTACCTAGACCAATGGTGCCTAAAATGTCTGTTGTTGTTAGTTGCCACTGAGTTCTTTCTGACTCATAACTCCATCTGTGTTAACAGAATTTCTCCATAAGGTATTTAAGGCTGTGATCTTTTGGAAACAGATTGCCAGGTTTATCTTCTGAGGCACCTCTGGGTGTCATTAAATTGCCAACTTTTCAGGTAATCAAACATGGCATCCAGGTGTGGCACTGTAAGATAAGCACTGGAATGCTAATCGCAAGGTCAGCCATTCAAATCTACTATCCACTGCTTGGAAACCCTATATAGTATTGCTATGAGTCAGACTAGATTTGATGGCACTTAACTACAACAATCAATGACTCCTAAGAGATCTACATTTTGGTAAAATTAGAATAAAGCTTTTCTTTAATGATTTCTGTGGCAACAAAGCACACAAGCACCTAAGTATTATATTCTAACAGGCAATGGCGAAAGGACAAAAAGAAAACCTACTAACAGACATAACTTGTCCTCACTCCCACATTTTAAACCAGAAATGTGGTTTGAAAGAAATGTTGAAAAGTAATACAAAACATTTGTATACTAGTTTCTTCCTATTGTAAATTACCAAGTGTGCTAGTTACACAAAAGGAAAATCAGCCCCACTGGCAGAGCAACAAGTACAATTTCTAGGGTAAGTAGTAGCAAAACAAAGAAATCCTTCAATTTTCCATCAAACAAAGCAAGAAAAATTTAAACCTATAATTTAATCTCAACATGGGGGGAAAATTCAAAGTTTTCCAACGCTGTTTAAAGTATAAACTAGTGTTTTAAAGCAAACATTTAAAAAGACTAAAAATGAAAGGCACAATTGAACAGCAGCATATAATATTTCATATTGTACTCAGTACCACAAGCAGTTCTGGGCTATATGAAATTAAAGAACTAAAAGGATTATAGAATTTAAAAACATCGATTACCAGTAAGAACCAGTGGAGGACTAACTATATTTTATTACTTGATTCAGACTATAAAATTTAAGTTCTACCACATACAGGAAGGAGTTTTGGTAGCGAAGAGGTAATGAATTGGGCTGCTAATCTCACGGCCAGCAGTTCGAAACTAGCAGCAGCTCCACAGGAGAAAGATGGGGCTTTCTACTACTATAAAGATTTACAGCCTCAGAAACCCTATACAGGCTCACTAAGAGTCAGAACCCCGGCACATAACCACCACCACCACACACAGAGTGGAAGGCTGACATTTAATTCTGCATACATATATTGACTGAGTTGGAAGTTTGACATTAAAATCCATAAACAAAGGAATCTTGTGAATCCAAAATACATTTGGTGAAAACGAAGCTTGCATTTTGACCTGAAAATACATAATTTGTCTAAGTCATAGTTTCTATTAAAAATAAAACATTTGATCGATTTTATATAAGTCCCAACATGTACAACATGTTAAGTGTGATTTTAAATTATTTCAAAAACAGCATTTAGTAACTTTAGTCAATTGGCAATTTGCTCAACCTGTTCACACCAACGTGGTAATGTCTACCTATTGTTAGGCATAACATCTTGACAACCAACTACCAGTATTTATATGATGGCTCACAAACTAGGTTGTCTGTAACCATCTTTATATGGTACATTTGATCTTTAGTTTGCAGTTAAAGAAATACACTTGTTTCATGAGCTATATGTGGCTATAAGCTAAGCTGAAGGAAAGTTGTTGTTAAGTGCCTTCGAGTCTGTTCCGACCCATAGCAACCCTGTACAGGGTTTCCGAGGCTGTAAATCTTGACGGGAGCAGAAAGCCTCATCTTTCTCCCGCGGATCAGCTGGTAGTTTTGAACTGCAGACCTTAAGGTTTGCAGCCCAATTGGTAACCACTACACTACCAGCGCTCCTTAAAAGCTTAAGGAAAGAGGAATACTTTAATTGGTGTTGGTTGATTTTCCCCCCAACCTTGGCCATCAGGTAGAACCACCCACCTAGCTACAAGCTGACTAAAAACGACTGCTACGTATTTCTGTAGTACAGACTCATATACGCCCACTTATTCCAAGACCAGCATTTAATTCCACACCCATGTCATGCCTAATCATCTCTGTCTCAGTAAAATGTAAGAGGAAAGAGCCTTGAAACTTGTTCCCATCTAACTAGAAAGCGATTCACAAGGTAACTTGGCTCAAGACCAAAATAATTTTTCTTTGGGTGTGCGCACGCATACGGTACAACACACACATACGCACACACACCATTGTGCCTTTACAATAAGATAAAATGATTTTTTGTTCTTCTTGAAAACAATTCTAAAGAACAGTGAAACAAATCCCATCCTTTCATTTCTGAAACCAAGGTTGCCTCAAAAGCCTATTCAGACCTATTCAGCCAACGTTGGCGGCTCCCAGTGACCCAAATACGGGGTGACAAATTTAAGGCCTTATTCTGAGATATTTTCCTGTCCAGGTTTTCAGGTCCTAAGGAGTCCTGTTTACACTGCTGAATGAAGTGGCCTGTAACCTCAGGAATTAGCTCTCCATCACCTTCTTAACAGAGTTAAGGATAAGACTACTAGGTACCCCGATTCCTACACTGGGCATCACAGTTTCATAAGTCATCACACTCGGAGGGGCAGCCTTATTTATTTTTACTCCTGCCAACACCAGATCTTGCCTAGTGAACCTCTCCATATGGGTTTGGCCAAGGCCCCTCTTTGCCTCTCCCTCCCCAGAGCTGAGAGACACTTAGTGGGCCGGGTACTGGACCAGACCCTCTCCAGTGGTTGGGGCGTCTCCCCACTTCGCCCCAGAACAGGTGCGGGAGCCAGGCAGCATACCCGGTTCTCCAGCTCCGCGGGGAACTTGGTCTGGAACTGGCAGCGTGTCCCGCTGCTGTAGTCTCGCTGAATGAAGACCTTCCCGGACACCGGCGCCTGCTGCGGCCTCATGGCGAGGACAGGATGGGCCGCGCTGCGGGGTCGGAGGAACACCAACCTCGGGTCAGATCCTTGGCCTGGACCCGGGACTCCAGCCCGCCAGCCCCTCGCACCCACCCACAGTCCAAAACAACCCAAGGCCTCCCCCGCCCCACACCCCCTCACCCATGCTGTCACGACAGGCCTTTTGCTACCGCCCTGCCCAGGCCCCGCGCCCCCCACAGCCGAGTTCGGCCCGGGAAACACGAACCCGCCTCCACTACCCTCCAGCCGCTGTCGTGCTGCCTTTCACGTCACTTACGTCCCGTCGCAAAAAGTATTTTTCCCCGCCCCTCAAGTCGGCCTCGTACCTCAAGTCTAAGAGCCACCTACGCTTCGGCCGTAAAGCGACTATGCTAACTAAGGCTGCGCACAGCGGGCGGGGCCCCAGGCCGACTCCACCTCTCGCTAGCTGGGCGGGGTGTTTCCGGAAGGAAAAGGCGAGGCGGGGCGGAGCGTCGGAGAATTGGGCGACTGGGGAGTGCAGGGGTGTGAGACCGGTGTTTTCCCCATTTGAATCGGTACCCGATTGATTGTGCAGAAGTACTTTCAGATACTAGAGGGTTATTTTCACTCTGGATTGGACGTAGCAGATAACACATGACACATCATCCAACTCTAAGTAAAGCAAATCGAACAAACTTGGAAAGGATAACCAGGCTTATGGGACTCCAATTGGTTCCTCACAAGGCTGGAGGAAGTAGGGAGAAGAATTTGCCTGGAATTCAAGTGTCCCTCTCCCAACCCTTTTCCCTTGTACCCCAAGAAATTTTCATCTAATTTCCCAATGCACACTCTTTCAGGTGAACGCACAAAAAGCAATTCTGTCCTGTTTTAGTGACTTCACTTTCTCAGTATTCCTTTCCAAGACAGTCAAAGAAACTCTACTTGTTTTCTAGTGGTGTTTGGCTAGAAAAAAATTATTGGTATAACCACGTGATAAGGAGTCCTGATGTGGCACTGTGGGTTAATGTGCTAGACTGAAAAGTCGATATGAACCGCAAGGTCGGTGGTTCAAGCCCACAACCATTCCTTGGAAATCCTATACAGGGTAACTATGGCTTGGAACCTACTCAATGGTACTTAACAACGAAACCATGTGATATTGCCTTTTATTTATTTGTAATATTCCCTTACTTTAACGTATTGTAAACAATTTTATCTAGATAAAATGGACATACAATAACAATTTATTCTTATGCAATCTGTATACTGAACAAACAACCTGAAAGACTGGATTATATGAAGAACATGGCATCTGATGAACCCTTTGGCATGGGTTGCAACTTAATGTAAAGAAGACAAAAATCATCATCATTAGAGCAATAGATAACATTATGATAAATGAAGAAAAGATTGAAGTTGTCAAAGACTTCAATTTGCTTGAATTTATCATCAGCATTCATGGAAGCAGCAGACAAGAAATCAAACCATCTATTGCATTAGGTAAATCTGCTGCACAAGATCTGTTTAAAGTGTTCAAGAACAAAGATGGTAGTTTGAGGAATTAGGTGTGCCTGACCCAAGTTTTGATATTTTAAATAGTCTCATATGCATTTGAAAGATGGACAGTGAATAAGGAAGACAATTGAAGAATTGGTGCATTTGATTTATGGTGTTGGAGAAGAATATTCAAAGTACCATGGACTACTAGAAGAACAAACAAATCTGTTTTGGAAGAAGTACAACCAGAATGTAACTTGGAAACTAGGATTGTGAGAGTTGGTCTCTCAAACTTTGGTAATAAATTCCATACCAGTACCTGGAGAAGTATATCATCTATGGTAAAATGGAAGATTTTTGAGAAATCTTTTCTGTGAGAAAGAGAAAGACCTCCAATGAGATGGATTGGCACAGTGGCAGCAGCAATGAAATCAAGCTTAACAACAATTGTGAAAATGGCGCAGGACTGGACAGTGTTTAATTCTGTTATGGATAAGTTCACTTACTATGAGTTGTAATCAACTTGCGGGCACTTAACAACAACAACAGGTCATGCATATTTAAAATGGACAATCTGATAAATTCTGACATTTGTATGAATAGATTCTGGCTCTCAGCAACTCGGTGTGTGCAGAAAAGCGCCTCTTCATAGGGTTTTTCAAGGCTATGACCTTTCAGAAGCAGATTGTCAGGTCTCTTTGAAGCTTTGGATCACATCCTCTTTGGTCTACTAGTGAAGCAATTAATGGAACCAGACATATGATATCCTTGTTGTTAAGTGCCATGGAGTTGGTTCTGACTCATAGTGACCCTGTATAGGATTTCCAAGGCTTTTAACTCTCTTGTCTCATCTTTCTCTCGCTGAGTGGCTGGTGGACTCAAACGGCTGACGTTGTGACTTGCAGTCCACTGCTTATCCTATGGAGTAACTATGCACCCCTGATACATGATACACTTATGAAAGAATCACAAATGAGGAAGTGAACACACATCAGCTCCTCAAAGTTCCTCTTGCTCTTTTGTAATTCCTCTTTCCTGTCCCTCCCCATGGTCCTTTCCTCAGATAATCACTGATTTGCTTTCTGTCTTTATACATTAATTTGCATTCCATGTAATTTTACACAAATTGAATCATACAGTATGCCATCTTTTTTTGTCTTTTCTTTCAGCCTAATTATTTTTAGATATCCATGTTGTGTACGTCAGTAGTTCACTTTTTTTTTACATTGCTGGGCAGTATGTCTTTTTTGCAGGGGGTAATTTTCTTTCTTTAATTTAAAATTTTTCTTTAAAAATGTGTTTTTTTAGTTTTGTGTTTGATCCAATCCAAGCTTTATTAACAGAAAGCCAGAAGTCTAGAGGACAGGGAGGGTGATCCGTCAAGACTGTCCTCCTGATTTACCACAACAAGCATATTGTATAGAGCAGTGTACATCAGCTAAACATTGCATCTGTCTTGACATTCCACAGTGAGATGAGTTATAACAGAACCTTCTGTCTCTCTCTCTCTTTTTAAGGATTTTATTGTGGAATGATTGAAAATTTACAGGGCAGATCATCAGTTTTACATTCAACAAATTATACACCTTGTTTCATTATAATGATTATAATCTCCATGTACCATCAATTAACAGTATTTCTCTCTATGCACTTTAGCTTTTTTTAAAAAACAAAACACTCAGGCATATATAATAATTTAAACCTCCAAAGAGCACATTCTGCAAGTCTGCCTCCTAGCCGCCAACTCTCAGTCCCTCTCTTTCCATGAATCTAGAGTCCTCAGCTGTTCCCCCTTTCTATGACCCCATCTCTGCCTCCATCTCTGGTGTCTCTGCTTCTCTGGATAAGGTCCTGCATTCTACTTGTGCTCTTCTCCCTTGATAGTCCTAGAGTCTGCTGTTTCTGGACTATTAGATTAACCATCTCCTGTTTTTGTAACAAAACTTCTACCTTTACAATTGTGACAGTCGCAATTAGTCATGATAAGAATTATTCACTATTGAATCATACAAATCTTATCCCCATCTCTTTTTACCAGACCCATTTAGACAAGATGAAACTATTCAGTGGGGACTCTTTCTATCCCCCCAAACTCTTAAACGAAACTCCCTCTTGAAACCTTGTAAGCCAATCACTTTGTACGTTTATCGCACCCTCATTTTAGGTAGCCAATGTCTAAGTTGTCTGTGCCTATCTACCCTGTGTATAGAGGGATAGCATTGATACTTTATGTGAAGACTCCTTCCCTCACTGTTGGTATTTAGAGTTACTACCTCTATGAGTATAGGTCAGGTTCATCAAATTGTAGCAATTTACCCTTGTTTCCTTTATCAAAAAATTGTTTTTCTTGGTAATCTTCCTCAGTTGAGTTCTGATTATCAAGCCATTGAGGCTAGGTCATATGGGTACTGTCTGCAAGTTTGGGTGTTCTTGTGCATCTCCCCTCACTTCATATAAGCTTAATGCTTCACTCTCAACTCGAGCCCTCTGTGGCTATGTCCTTGTCCATGGGCTCAAGTGTCCCCAGGTCTCAGCACACTTTGGACCAACCAACACTTTCTCTTCTCTCTCTCATCTCCAGGTCAATGGGAGTCAATGGACTGTGGTTGAACTCAGCCCATTTCTTCATTGCTGCTTTCCCCCCTCTTCTACTCACTAGTAGACCAATGTGATCGCCAGGCAGCTTACATGCTGTTCATGTATTACCTTTGAGCGTCAGTCTTAGAAGGGGGGTTTGTCCTAAAGGAACTTATTTGCTTGCCTTGATGGCTTCCTGGCGAAAAGCTTGCTTATTCTTGCTTAGCCAGTCATGCTGACATTTTTGTTTGGGGTTTTTCCTGATGACCTTTCTTTGAAGATGTATCTTCAGTTGCTCTAGCTGGTCTTGTCTGACTAGAAAGGACAAGCAGACCAGCCTGGAACACCTCAGAAGGTTTTATATGGGACTCAGGATTTCACCTAAGGTCCTATACACTGCAAACGTTTGCAAGAGGCTTATTTCACTGGGCAAGTTCTAGAACCTCTTTTATGTATTCCAATCAGTTATAGGCTGAAGACGGGCTTACAAGTTTTCTGTAATCATGTTTCCCAACATTCCTTCCTATCCTACTTAAGTGTCTATTTTACAGTAGTAGGCAAGGGAAACCAATATTCATAAGACAGCCAAGTAGCTTAGTATTATTTCCCGTCTTCAAACTATGCCTAGATCCCTGTATCACAGAGCCCTGTTGTTCCAAGGTTGAGCAAGCATCACTATTTACCTCTATCCCACTTAGCCTGTGCAAACCTGTCTCAGTGTTCACCTATCTATCTTGTTGTTCCACCTCCTCCCCCTTCTTGTGTTGCCAACCCCCCAACACCCAAACTAAACCCCTCACCCCAAGCCCACTGTTGTGGTTACCTTTTATTCCATTAAATCTCCCCTCCATTTAAGACAGTCTATTTTTATCCTGTAATCTATCTGACCTTCTCACCACCTGGATGTCTGTTCCTCTGTGCTTACCTTCTTTCACATTGTAATAGTTTTGATCATAGACTGACCTCCCAGATCCTTTGTTCTAAAAATTTTATTCTGTTCTTGACTTTTCCATTTGTCAATTGAGTTCAGGGTGATGCTGCCATGTTCGTCTTTTTCTGGTTGTTGTCTGTTCTTGTTGGTTCTCAGTTCACAGAACTTCCTTCAGGATGTTTTTCAGCGCATGGTTGGCTTTGGCAAAATCCTTTAGC